TGTGGTGGACCCTGCTTCGGCAGGAGGGTTGGACTAGATGACCCACAGAGGTCCCTTCCAACCCCTACCATTCTGTGATTCTGTTTTCTACTACTGCGTTTTGCTGCATTTCATGAGTTTGGGGTGTTGCTCAGGATTAGATCAGACTGCTTGAAGAGGCCACGGGAATACATTTCCCTTCATTTTTTTTTGTCCGAATCTGTCATTCTTTGACCTCTGCAGGACTTCGACCTCCAGAGCTACAAAATGTTCCCGTACTCACCGTCCATCTTTTGTGCGTGGCGTTTGCTCATTCTCCACGCACGCTTCGCTGAAGGGGTCTAGCTGAGGAGGCACAGCGCTGGCTCTGGGTGATGTGGCCTGGGACTGGAGCTGGTGGCAGAGTGGAGAGGAGCAGAGCTGTTTCCCGTGGCTGAGGGACGCATCTGCACCGTAGCCCAGAGCGGCATGTTTGCATGTCTTTAGGAGACAGCCAGTCAGTCCCCACATGTCAACCATCCCTCCCACACCTGTGAATGTGCACCACAACAGGACAAGGAGGTGATCTGGAAACCACTGCAGTCTCTACAGCTGCATCTCTAACACTGAATAAAACACTCCATACGCTGGGTCTGCTTAGTTTCCCTCGGCAGACGTAGCCAATGACGATATGGCCGTTTTCCAGGTTGTTGGGGTAATTACCTGTTTGCCTTTTCAAGTTTAACCATCTGGTGCACTCACTGTACAAGAGGTGCATGGTTTTTGCATGCCACCAGGTGTCTGTGCTTTTTGCATCTGGAAATACAGACACCAGCACACATCTCACACGTGACACCCAGGAGGAAAAATCATCTGGCCCCAAAGTCTGCAGAATTCTGTTCCAAAAAGTTAAATAAATTGTTGTCGCTTTTTAAGTGCCGTAATAAATGTGTGGAATGATCTTGCAAAAAAGCTTGAGGCTTAGAGAATAGGTGCTAAAGAAATGCATCAAATTAGACTGAAAAAAAGGCATAAAATCTATGTTATCCCAAAAAATAAGGGCTGACGGCTCTCTGTTTGCTGCTGTACTAAACATCAAATTTGTGTTTCTGGCTAAAAGAGTTTGCATCTCTTCAGTGAGCAGATCCGAAGGCTTTGTTTTGCCGGAGAGGTATGCGGTGGTGAGTGAGAAGTAGAAAGTGATGCAATCGGGCACGGTTTGTAAGTGAAGGGTCACAGATGGGTGAAGCCTCACAGAAGTTAGAACAGACAAACAAGCATTCAGAGATGCTCCTGGAGTGTCCTGAACACTTAGAACCGGAGAGGCTGGCGTTTGCTTTGGCAGGATTATGTATGTATATGTACGCTTTATATTTTATAATGAATATGATAATTATAGGAGATAATTTATAATATATGTGTGGCTCCTTGATAGGCTAAAACAATGCCATGAGAGTCTAAAGAAATGTGAAATCTAATTACTGTAGCTGTGTAAGTAAGTGAAGTAATGAGGAGCTTGGGAGTGTGACTGATAAGCAATTAGATACTAGACTAATGAGCAAGCTGTCTGCAGTCCATCAAAAGAGTAAGGGAGCCTTGTGCAAGACGCCCCTGGCATTGCAAAGAGGAAGATACACCGTATCCAAATGCAGCTTTCCAAGATACATAACGCAGCACGAACACATGACGCTCGCTAATGACTGGAGACTGTGTGCTCAGCTCAGGGGCGAAGTCATTAACCAGTCAAAAAACGCGTGGCAGACCCGCAGGAGATAAGGACAGCAAAAAGTACAGAATGTAAGGAACTGCGAGTACGTATAGGAGAGCTGCAGCTTGGATTGGGGGTGCTGGATTAGCGAGTCCCCAGTATCAGGTTTGCTGTGCTGTCCTACCCCAGATAAAGCAGCAGGGGTGAGACATCGGTGTCGGGCTCGGTGGTGTGGGCGGCAACGTGAGTCTGGTCCCGGCAGAGCTGGGCTGGGAAGGGGCAGAGGTAGCGGGCACACTGGGGAAAGGCACTCAGGGCTCTCTGTGTCCTGTGGGGAGTCCTGTAATAACAATCCTCACATTGTGCAGAAGACTGTCTCCAGGAGCTTATTCTTCAGCAAGTGCTAACTGTTTAAGCTGAAATTTTCCATGCTGGATGTCTGCTTCAGGCTGTTGGTGCTTTCTAAGAGAAAGTTTCAGCAGAAGCAGTTCAGCTATCTCCAGAAAGGAAGCTAGGGTAAATTTATCCTAGGCTTTTTTCAGGTTTGTTTTGCCTGTGTGATAAATATCCAGGCTCTCCTCTTTTTCTTTTCTAGTTTGTTCAATTTCTTTTTTTTTTTTTCTTTCAATTTTGCAGTTTTATTCTGGAGTTTTCATGGTTTTATTTGAGGACTTGAAATTTTGCAAGCTGCTGCCCTGCTAAAGCAGGCAAGTGACTTGTGCCATTTTTGTTCTTTGTAACCAGTTTTTCATGCTGCTAAGCCAAAGCCTTGACTTTATTCTAGTTGAAGATGTCCCTGCTCATTGCAGGGGCGTTGGACTAGATGATCTTTAAAGGTCCCTTCCAACCCAAAGTGTTCTATGATTCTATGACTCTTTGATTCTATGATTCTATGATTCTGTGATTCTGTGATTCAACCAAACTGGATTATACATTTGAAACCGTGCACCCTGCAGGTGTTAAATAGAGATTCAGCCAGTACGTCCTCCCCCAGGTTCTAGCTGCAGTGAGTACACCGTGACCTGAGCTGTGACTGGCTTTTGTTTAAGTACAGACTGGCCAGATCCAGGAGCTGGAAAGCAGCCTACATCTCTCTGTGGTCTCAGGCAGGTGGAGAAGGAAACTGCTGGATTTCATTAAAGTGGGGGTGAAGGTTTAGGGAGAGAAAAGTCAAAAGAATCTGTTCAGATCATAGCACCTTTTCTTCTGGTCTGCCACAAACTTGGATTGCTGTTCCAAGGGCTTGTGAGACAGAGCCAGCTATCAGGAAACATCTGTCAAAACCCACTAGCAAAACATCGCTTACCCTTTTGATTTCAAGAGAGGTTGGCCATGATAGCCCAACGCTGGTCTTGGCTCTGTGCCTCCTTCAACGGGGAACAGTCTGTGCAATGGACTTAAGGCTTGCAACCCTGGGGATGGCTGTCAGAGACCTGGTGGTGGAGTCATGCTTCGCCAGTGTCTGTACCTTAAAGTCTAGGACATACACGTGTATCATCATGGAGTTTGCAGTGTCAGGCCTTCCAGAGTGAGGAGAAAGCAGGCCTTGGGTGTTTCAGCTTAGGTGTGCAAAATTAACGGATATTAATCTACTAACCTGCATCACTTTGTGTCTCAGCTCAGCAGCTGTAATGTGGAGTTAATGATACACCCTCCTTCCACAGGTTCATTATGGAAATAAGATAATTAACATCTGTGAATCACTCTAATTTAAGAGTGGGGAAGGCCAAAGAAAAGTCTATGAGAAAATTATTGCTTCCATCCTGAGCAGGACTTGAGTGATGTGAGGAAACTGCAGCGTGGAGCAAGGACCCAGAACATGCCACCGAAAGGAACAAGGGCTCTTGGGTCTATGGAGCAGAGCGGGAGAACGGTGGAGAAATAACACTTCTCTGTGTGTATAAGGATTGTATGGCAGCGTGACTGGGGCTGCAAAGACCACCTTAGGCCCTGTATTTCCTAGAGTAAGTACCTGACTCTGCAGTCTTACTAGCATACTTCCAGTGCAGTTCTCTTGGGTGAAATATCCACTGAAATATATATGTCTGCGGAGGGAAAACCCCGTCCTGTATGCCCTGTAATCATGCAGGTTGCCTGTGGTATGATGGGGGTTTAGATCAGTGATTGCTCTTTAGGCAACAAACTTTGGTTGCCCAGGTGGCGAGTTCTTTTTTCACTGTCCTCCAGATACACAGTGACCTTCTTGGCTTTTTTTTCCC